AAAAGACCTAAATCCATCTGAACTTCAGATAAAAACCTATTTGACAATATACAGTATATCCCCCAGTCCATAAAATAAATGATTATTTTAGTCCACAATTTTCACTTATCTAAAGATTTTAAAGAAATGAGTATAAAACTGAGTATAAAAATAAACTTTCAACATATACATACCCAGGCATGGCTAAACGAATATGAGACATCAAATGATGATGATATCATAAATTTGAGGAGGCTATCAAGATTTAGGCTCCCTCTATGTAAAATAAAACTTTATTAAAACATATTCTCCATGACAAGTGCAAATATGATTATCTCATGGATTTGAACAGAACTGTAATCTTTGTGAAATTATTCTTTGGAGTTGTGAATTAAATCCTGGATTTTCTCATGAACCATACAAACCTGCAGGGGGCACTGAGTACTTACATTACAGAGAGACATGCAGACTCAGTCACATCACAAAGAGCCCATGGATTGGTTATTTCATTAAAAAATGAACTGGCACACTTTCTGAGAATACTCTGATCATATAAACATTTGGTTCAAAGTAGAACATGAGGGGATCTTCAACTGTTATACACCAAAATGCTCTTATTCACACTTCCTTTCTACATCATTATGCAGAGTGTCTTCTTTTCCCACAGTTACTTAATCTTTGTATGCAAAAAAACAACAGGTGTGTATTTCACGGCACTCAGTGACCTTACTGCCACTGGTGTTAAGAATAAACGTGCCTTTGAGGGGGTTTCAGCTTTCACATGTTTACCCAGAGCTGGAATCACAGGGGAGAATGTGAGGTATGTGGAGAATCTGTGAAAAACATGCATGAAGTGTTTGAATCCAAGCACATTTTCACCCTTGGGATCAAAACTAAATATCAGTGCAAATGTTAGTGGAACACAGTTCAAATCACAGCATTTTAAATGTTTTGCTTTTTGGCAGCTATACTCAGCCAGTCCTTATGTTTCAACAATGCTCCTTGTTAAGTTCCCTGGAAAACACTATTTTCTTTTTGATGCTGGGGAATTTGTTTGCTTTTTAATTAGCATTGCTGTCTCTCCAGTTTGTCAACACAGTGAATCAACATGATTGCTGGTGTTACCTCAACCTGAGAATGCCCTCTTTGTGGGAGGAGGGCCGAGCACTGTCATGCAGGAGAGACAGACGCCAGCATGCTGTGTGGGAGACAGCTTGAAAGAGTGCCAGCGTAAACACTCCCAGACCACATGTTCTCCCAGGGCAGAGGGGCTGGCTTCTCTCCAGGCACATCTGCACACAATCCCTCAGCTTTGAGCCGAGCCTGCCAAGGACACAGAGCAGGGCAGAGGAAAGAGAGCAGAAGTGGGAGAGGAGCATTCCCAGACAGGGAGAACCTGCTTCATCTTTGTCAGTGATGAAAGATCTGAAAGAAACAACGAAACGCATAATGGGAGGATCACAAGAATCCACCACCTGTCTGCAAAGTTAATGCACATTCTGTGTATGAAGGCCGGCCACCTTCCTCGCAACTGTACTTCTGTATCACGCCACTGATTTCACATGCCAAAGTGTGCTTGGCTGAAATGCACAAAAAACCTGTCCATATCCTTGAGAGAAGATGGATTACTCCATAAATCAAGCTGCTGACTCACACGCAGTCACGTCTGCATCTGTAGCTGCACTGCATGCATGCAATACAGCATGTCTGTGTAATCTTTCTCTCATTTTTTATATTATTCTGATGCACTCATTCAAAATAAATAAATAACCATTAACCCTCATGGCTTAAACATGTGTAAGATTTAGGTGAAAGTGATCTATTGGCAGAAATTTAATGTAGAATAATCCTCATGATGTGTTCACTAGTGTGTTTCATCTAAATTGTATGAATAGTAGTTTTCTTTACCCCAGAAAAGGCCCTTTATATTTAAATACTTTATATTTACATCCAAGGGACCCTCTCTACGGAGACCGCCATGTTTTTTACATTAGTCCAGACTGGACAAACTAAACACCTTTTGAGTTTTCATGACAATTAAAGGCTAATTAAAGGTTAATGTAAATATGAATGTTATCCTGTCCGTCTCTGACATGTCCCCTACACCAGCCTTTCTCGGGTGCTGCCCCTTGGCTCCCTGGTGTGGCTTTGTGCATGTGTTTCACAGAGAGGTAATTACTGAGCAAGCTATGCTGACAACACCTGAGGAATGTGGAGCATGCACCAGCAGCCTGTGTTCTCTTAGCCCTGCCATCACCCCACCTCAACCTCTTCCCCATCTGCAACCCTCCCCCCCTGCAGACCACTGTAGTGAGAGCTAGGCCCAACCCAGAGTTCACCCTGACATTTTCACAGGAGTCTTAGATTTGTGCCTATGCAGGTGTTGTTTTATGTAATATTGTTGCTGTTCTGCCAGGAAACACACTCAAGAACTCTAGAATACTCTGGATTAAACTGCTTGATAAACAAAATGATATTGTAGGATACAGTTTCAATAACATCAGATTTTTTGGGGGAATCTGAAACCTTGCATACAACCCTAAACTCCCAACAGGCCCCACCATTCTCTTAACTGGTGAATTCACAGTATGTGCTGACTGACTCACTCCCCAAACTGTCCTTGAGCTCCATGGAACTCACAGCCCATCTGGCTGAACACTCGTACACGCATATCAAAACATTGCATGGATCGAAGCAGGGGGAGGGAACAACTCTGGGTGACCTAATTGTGGTCTAGTCCAAAAAAATGTCAATATCTAGCTGCAGAGAATGATGGCAACTGGTTATTTTTACGGAAATGCAACCAAAGCATCAAGTTTTGACTATGTCCATGTGTGTGTGTATCTAGAGAGAGAGAGAGAGAGAGAGATTATGAATTCAGTTGAGCCTCTCCCATCTGTCTGACTCGCCCATCATGATGAAATCAGGATGAAATCCCTTGTGCATGTACATCAACATAAGTGCACATTTCTGTGGTGCTGAATCTTATTTATGTAAATGCTATGGTTACAAAAAAAAAACACACCTGACATGGCTGAGTAAACAACAACATGTTTCCTACACACTTGAGGGTTAATCAGTCCGGATACGCAAGACAAGGCAAATGGGACATGGGATTTAGTTGCTAAGCAACTTCTGTTGATACCAACACTTTTTTTATTCATATGATGAGAGCCATATAAAAGCATGACGACAGATAAAAAGGCAGGGGTATGCAGGATAATGTGGGCAGTTAACAAGCGTTAGGGTCAAATCCAAAAACAAGTAATTCGAATTATGGCTCCAGTTGTGTCATATTAAATGTGTAACTTGCATTATCTAACTTTATATACTGTATCTTATGTACTATTAGTTTATTTCAAAAGTAATACATTCAATTTCATTGTAGTCTCTTATTGTCGTACAAGTTAACAGCAGAGAGAGGATGTCTAGGTTTTCTGATTATTAGATTTCAGTAAGCTATCAGCCCTTTACCTATATGTGAAAACATTTTCAGTGGTTATTATTCTTTTATCCATGTCACTGGGTAGCCCTGTTATTGCTGTAGATAATGGTTATCCAGCCTCAAATAACAATAGATAAATGTCATTTGTTTAATGTGCCATTATGACCATCAGTGCTTTTCCACCCTCAGGGGACACATCCGCTTTGCCTTTGATGTCACTGAGCCACAATTTGTTTTAGATAAGAAGATGAGGCTGTGACATTTGAGTTTGTAAAATGATTTGTTTATTTTTCCTGTTGGTATCAGGTGTTTTCAGTTCCTCCCTTCACCTCTCTACTTAATTAACCCTATAGTGTCACCCAGATGACAAACTGGAGGAATTGTAATGAACGTGTGCATATGAATGACAGCAGTTTCTCCCAAAGATTTGGAACAACACCAAACTGTACATTCTCCTCAGCAATGAGCCTTTTATTTTAAATGATGAATGGCTGACAATGCCCTGAATGATCATTTTCAATAGATTCAGTTAAACAAGCATAATATTCTCCATTAGAACATTTTGTCATTCACGTTGAGTAAGTTTAGGAAACTGCAGCTTTAACTACTTCAGTTAAACTTGTTTCAGAAAATAGAGAAATTGTAAGAGTTGAAGTTATTCCATGTTATGGTGAAGAATACTTCATACTCAGGAAATAGTAGTGGTGAGCTATTCCTTTTCGTCTCTGGTGCATTATCGCCCCTTGACCTGAAGCTTATTTAGTTTGACACTAAACTCAGTTGCTAAAAACATTAACTGAAGATTCAAGGGGAAACATATATATATATATAAATACAGAAGCCTATATATTCACTACATGTGAGATTATCTCTTCTAATTATATTTCATGATTTAACCACACTTTGTTTATATTTGTTTTATGTGATTTTATTTATAACAATAATCTCATTACAATAATAATAATAAAGTGTAAATGAATTTAATGTATGTATGATTGTAAGAGAAATGTAACATTGTTTTTCATTCCACAACAACTCACCACTGTACTAAACACGTAAACAGGTCCTTGTATTTTATCAGTTTAACATTTACCAACGCTTTAATCCAAAGTGACTTTCATAGATATATATACACACGTATAAATATCTAGATATACATAGATATCTTTACATTGTTATATTATATATCTATGAAATTATACCCATTTTTATATAAAATACATGTCTGCTATCATTCTAAAGGGTACTCAGATCAATATATAAGAGTCAATATATATATGCATACGTTTATTTCATATCTGTGCTACTGCACTTTCCCTTCAATCTTAACATATAATTGACTTATCTATATTTTCATTATTACTATTTAATTATCATTAAGCAGTTAGAGGAGTGCTGAAATAAAGTCACATCTATCAGAAGTATATATCAGTAATATATAAATCGGTAGTATATGAGAAGTATACAGGCAGTGTGTGTATATGGTGAGTAATGTTGGGCAGAGCGACTCCAACCTGGCTCTCTCTCTCTCTCTCTCTCTCTCTCTCTCTCCCTCCCTCTCTCTCTTCCTGGCTGACGTCAGCTGACCGCCTCGGCTCTCTCTGCTCCTCCGGACACGGCGCCGCGTAAAAATGCTGCTCTCTGTGCCGCCAAGGACAGGAATCAACCCGTACAACGGCTACTCCGGCAAAAACATCAAGAAGGTGAGTAACAACAACCTTCTCCTCCTTCTCCTCCTTCCTCTCCTCCTGTGCGGCTGAGGAACACAGTGGTTTGTCGGTGCCGTGCTGCGTCTGGAGCCCGGTTAAAAAGCCGCTCGCTTGTTTAAGCTGCAGTGTCCTTGAGAAGTGGATCACAGGCGGCGTTTAAACTCTCCCTCCACCCGCTGCTGGAGGCTTCTCTCCGGTTGTTGTTGTTGTTGTTGTGACACAAACCAACACAGGAGGACCGACACATTGTTGCCTCTTTCATTTCTGCCACAGTTTCGTGTGTCCGCTGCTCTTCTTCCGACACGGAGCCACAGGGAGAGGAGAGCGGCGCACAAACTGCCCGGAGATGCTGAATCTCCACAGGCTGCGAATGGAAGACGTTTGTTTTACTACTTGTTACTGGACTTTATTTGTGGTGGAAGCAGCTCCACTTGGCTTGGATACAGGTTTTTTCATTGAATTACGCACAAGTTCGTAAAGTTTTTTTCCCCTTGTCTGTCTTTTACGCGTACAGATATGCCCCACCCCTTCTTTCCTGCTAACGATGACTGAGAGGGGCTGCATGCATGGCACTGTGGAAAAGAGCAAAGTTACAAAGCCCATGTTAGAGTTTATATAGATGTAACACAGGGCATGTAGATAGATAGATAGATAGATAGATAGATAGGTAGATAGATAGATAGATAGATAGATAGAGATGGATGGATGAATGGATAGATGACAGACAGACAGACAGATGGATAGATAGATAGAGGTGGATGGTTGGATGATGGATGGATGGATTATATATATAGACAGACAGACAGAGGTGGATGGATGGATGATGGATGGATGGATGATATATATATATAGACAGACAGATAGAGGTGGATGGATAGATGATGGATGGATGGATGATATAGACAGACAGATAGATAGATGTACTTTATTGATCTCAAGGTATCAGCTACATAAGCAATATGTAAAAGAATACAACATATTCAAAATAGATGTGGCCATGTAGGATATGTAGATCAGTTGTATTGACCAGTACTGATTGCATATTGTCATATATCTTGTCATATGAATAATTCATGGGGTAAAATTGTTATCTGTTTTCTTCTGCACTATATATATATATATATTCAATATAGATGTAACACAGTGCAGCCATGTGAGATGTTAGTGAAGATCCCGTACTGATTGAATCGTGTTGTCTCATGTGAATAATTCATGATGAGGCATTGTTATCTTTCGCTCTGTACAGACAGGTATAGAAATTCTGGGACATACATCAACAGGATGTTTGCAGCAAGCGTAAACCGTTTCTCATGCCGTATACGCTTTCAAAGTATTTATACTATGAAGTACGTCGATGCCTGCCTCTCAGCATTTTTTTGACTTAAGTCTCCACAAAGCTGAAATCAAACACCTCCCCCCCCCCGTGTTATTCCCTTCCCTTCCCTTTGCCTCAAGGCTGGCAGGAATTCAGATTGCTCAGATTATTGACCTGGAATTCCTGGAATCCAGGATTCACACAGTGTGTTCATTTCAAGAAAGGTGGGGGCTCTGCAAACTCAAACCTGTTCCTTGAAAGAAGAAGACATGCACACACTTTATTTGGGGGGGGGTTTACTCATTTTGCATCGTGCCAAAGTCACACACAGAGAGGAGACTTGTAAATCCAGCGTCAAGTGGTAAGCCCCTGGTCTGTGTCTTTTTACTACAAGAAAAAGGGCGGAGAAAAGAAAAGGATTAGGAGCCCCCCCCCCCCCCCCCCCTGCTTTCGATTAACCGCCCCAAGTCCCCCCCCCCCCCCCTCTCTCCCCTGTGTGTTTCACATACCTCGATTTCTCGTCTGTCAGTGGTTGAGTTCACATAGAGAGGAGAGGCTGAACATTCCTCCGACTGATGAATTCTTTTGTCCGGAGACTTTACTTTCTGCTCTGTTCGTCACATACGGTAACAGACTTATTTTGAGATTTTTGTGTTTTTTAATAAATCTGGATTGAGTCAGCAGAAGGAGAGCGTTAGAGGCATCTCATCTTGTAGCCACAGGACGCCAAGGATTTTCATCACTTTCGTGTGGTTCTTCTCACCTTATTGCACTACTTTTTTTTTCTTCGGCCTGCAGCTGCAGAAATATAATAGGAAGAGATAGTGTCTATAACACTATGATCTTTTCTACGGTGCCTTTTAAGGTTTCTGTTGCCAAGCAGGTAGGAAACCTTTAAGATCTCTCTCTCTCGTTCAAGATATGTCGTTTACTCATATGCGCAATATCTCCTATAGTGATAATGATTATGACAGTTTATTATCCATTATTGAAACGATACTGTATAGTAATGCAAAGTATTATGATGTTAATAATGATGAGCAGTATACTGATCAACTAATTGAAATATTTGATATATTCGACACTTGCCCCTCTGACTTTTATTTTTATCGGGATAAAGATGAATGACAGAACTAAATGAGTTTGACCTTAAGACGGTTTTTGAAGCAGCGTCAGCATCACTTGGACAAAAGCATCATGGTGCCAGAGGGATGTTGCGTTCAGGTGTCAGACAATCAGGTGCATATCTTTGCTGTAGAGTTTAAGACGCGCATCCTGTTTCACTTAGCCCTCCATTGTTGTCTCTCGGATGAAGAAGTCCTTGAGTCACCTGCGCTCCCTACAGGCTTCACCTCTGCTCCCTCCAACTGTAATCACACCATCAGTCTTCAGCCACTGCCTTGAGCACACACCCTCTCTCTCTCTCTCTCTCTCTCTCTGCACCATACTGTGCAGGCCACTTACTGTGGTTATGCTTCTCCCACGACTGTAATAATAACACAAAGAGCTGATTGATCTCTCTGCAACTATAGCTGCAGACTTATATTAATGGGGATGTGAGAGCTCTATACGTTTCTAGCTTCTCTCTGCCGAGTGGCTGAGAGCGACCGAGCATCACTTGTTCTTGGGCAGGATTAAATTATCACGCATCGTAAAAAGACTACGCCGGTTGTAAATAAGTATGGGCTTTGTGTACGCAAAGAAGGATTTCCTGTGTTTCTCAGAGTTGATCTTGTCTTGTCAAATTGCCCAGTTCCCACAGAGCTGTGATGCCTCCAGGAATGTAGTTTAATTTAACACCAACAGCTTCACCTCTGATTTTAAACCGTGCCCCCCACAACCCCTGTCCTCCTCCAGCAGAGAAACACAAACAATTGTGCATCGCAAAGGAATGTAAAGAATGCTGGGAGATGACACTGTGATTCATGTGCGCAGCGTAAACAGATATGCAGGCGGATGTGAGGTGAAGAGTAACAAGTAGAGTTTTTGGCTCATTTGATATTATAAGATTAAGATTCCTTTATTATCCCACAATCATGCACACACAAGCTACATGCAATGGGGAAATTGACCTTTTGCCTTTAACCCGTCCGTGTGAACACAGCACACGGAACACGACACACAGCGACCACACGGAGCAGTGGGCAGCTACTATGGCAGTGCCCGGGGAGCAGATGTTGGGGGAGTAAGTGGTTTGCTCAGGGGCACTTAGACAGTGGGATAGGGAGGGTCCATCTGTCCTCTTGGACTCTAACAGATCCTGTAAAATTAGATTCGTGTTTCCCGATCGTGAACATTTAAGACAGTCATCATATTTTCTGTTGGTCATAATCTGGATCAATGGATCTGGATCAGATTCTGCATGTGAATGTGAAAAATCTGTAGTCGAGGGACAAGATTTCGAGGCCTTCAGGTTCCTGTGTCTAATCCAATTCCATTTCTGACCAATCACGTTTGAGCATCCAAGCTTTTGTTGCTCACAGGTAAACAGTCTGTGTGGGGAGAAAAAGAGGAAGAACACATTGACCGAAATGCTCCTTAATTCATCTGCCTTCGTATGCAGATAGCTTTTAATAGAGATGAGCCAACATGTTGTCTTGACATAAATCACCAATTGTGTGTTTTGAGTGGAGAAATGTTCGACACTCCAGATTATCGGCCCCTACATGCTACTTTGTCAACAGATGATAGTTGATGGGCTCAGAGATTTTGTTGATCCTAACTGCATTTGTGCTCCTCTGCATGCATGTTTTGTAGCAGCACATCAGGCGTATCCTTACAGAGAACACCTGGAGCCAGCGCTAGGCACTGGGACAGATGGGGAGAAGGTGTGGCGCTGACTCGCTGCCATCCTTTTCTCAGAAGGAGCCTAGCAGAGCGGTCTTAATGAGACACTACCTTCTGACTGGAGAGCACATGAGAGGGATTAGCACTTTCCGCTAACAAGCTCAGATCCCAATTAGACAGGCCTCACTAGCCAGGCTTGGGCTCGGGCTCAGCCCCCCGTCAGATTCGATCTCCCCAGGCCTCTGCAGGTGCATCCCCCCTGATAGTGTGTTCAAGGCCGCCCACAGTGCAGCCAAGGGAAAGCACAGAGAGAGGTTCCTGATTGTGGAAAAACAAACAGCGTACTATTGACGCTAAAGAAGAGTGGGAGATTAGAGACGGAGATGAATGGGTCGTGTGAAGCACTGTGATTTTCTCAGCTTGACTAAAAAAAGATGGGGAGTGAGCTCGGAGGGATAAATCCAAAACGGTTTGAAAAACATTCGGCAGCTCGGAAGTGGGGATACAAAAAAACCCAATCACAATAAAATCACTTTTCAGTTGTGTCTGAAAGATTGTTGCTATCATACACATAAAGTACTAAACTGAGCGTGTAGTAGAGAAGCTAAAAGTAAAGGGAGGATGCTTTCAAAGATAATCACTCGTGCAGTATCAAATCAATATTTGATGTGTTCTCCTCGATACTTAAATGCTCAGTTTTTCAGAATTTGGAGTCTCAATGGATTCAGGGTGTCCCAGTAGCTTCTGTCTCTTCATGTAATCTCAGAATGGCCCCATGATGCTGAGACAGGGCCTCTGTAGGGGCCACACTGTTTGTTCTTTGTGGCTCAAGGTAATTCTGTCTGACTCTGGCTGTATGTTTGGCTTCATTAAAATGCTGCAGAACGAGATTGGTACCGCTCAGGTGCCTCCCTGATGGTGGTGCGTGATGGATGGCAGGTTATAAGTGAGACATCCAGTCAGAGTACACATTTTGTGAGGTAATTATTATAATAGGGTGGTTTTCCTAATCAAATGCCTGTAGATGGCTAAAGATCTAGGTTTGAAACTCACGTGGTCTATATAGAGGCAGCACATTTAAATGACCCTGCTCCTTATCATAAACACAGTAATGTATGAATTGCTCATTGTGGGAACTGTTGGGTGTCCCCATGGTCTCGACTGTCATAAATGTGAAGTGCCTTGACGTCCAAATAAAATTGAATTGAATGCAATTGAATAATAAAGAAAAGTAACTCTGTTTCATTTAAGAAGTAATTCACATCAGAGAGATTAGGCAGATTCATATTTTATAGATTTTTATAGATTCCATTATGAAATGTGCTTAATGTTTTTATTATTACAGACACGGATTAAAGGAAAAAGAATTTCACCAAGAGTAATAAATGTAATAATGTTGAATACCATTTTAAACTGTGTCAGAAATAGTGACAAATCTTAGACTTTGAATAATGTTAATCTAATGTTAACATACAGTGTCAAAAGAGTAGTAACTGTCTTCCAGGAAAGGAGGACATCCAACTATAGCCAATAATGAAGAAAATAAAGTTTATTTCTCATCCCAGCCATATCTTCAAAACATTCAGTGGAATGAAATTGCGTTCCTCAGGACCTTTGTCATTCAAAAGACAAAGCAGCAGTTTGAAAGACAATCATAAAGTAGGCATAATAAATACTGATATAATTGAATGCTGCACTTTTGCTGTCCTATCCTTTGCTGCTATCTCAGGTGGAGTTGTTGAACTTCTATAATGACATGATTTCCAGCCAATAAACATTTGTTTAGTTGGGGATTTGTCGATTGGCTGCAGTTTGGTTATTGCTTCCTTTTATCCTCCCAGGCATACAGGGCGGTTTTCAGCGACTGTATCTCACAGAGAGCTTTGTAACATTTCGGATGATAAAACAAATGCTTAAATCAGATTTTTTTGTTTAACCTCAGAGTTTTGATAAAATGTGATGTTGCCTTAAAGATTTTGGTTTCAGGAATCTGCCAGTTGTTTTCATCAGAGCCACAGCAGAGAGAAGTAGAGAGGACACAATTAGCTTGATTCCAGCAGTCTTTTGACAGCTCCTCCTCTTTTAACAAGCTGGTGGTCCAGTGCTGACCTTGTGGTGTCCAACAAGCCACCCCATTGTTCCCTGGGGCCGGGCCTGCTGACCATAACTAATCAAATGGTTCCTCCTCCTCTGGCACTGAGAGGAAGGAGGCAACACCAAAGCCAAACTTATCTGACATTTCACTTCCTGACAAACTCAGTTTAGACATTTCAGTTTCAAATCGTGGCCGTTGAATCGCTGAAAAGAGCCACCACATAAAATTACCAATGCATCAGTGATATGCATAAATCTGTACGCAAAGTACTGTGCTATAATAAGTGGTGTTTCTGCAAACACCCCAAGACAATGGTGGTGACTAGAATTCGGTCTGTGCTGCTGAAAGCACTGAGCATTTTTGAAAAAGCAAGTATTATAATGTCTTTCCAGAAACAATGTACTGGCTGATGTTGATAGTCCACAGATCTTCCTGTGAACAGTTTGGATTGGAACTGTTTCAAATACCCCCAGCGAAAACAGTTTCAGCTTCAAACCACAGCTTTAAAGCCTCTCATGCAGCAGAACGAAGTCACATTAATTCCAGCCAGATTTAATATTACACTTTTATTGTTTTTTTGCATTGGTTGGAGAGTTCAGTTCCCGTGTGTGCTGTAATTCTTTACAGTTTATTCTTCAGGCAAAAGTTGCTTTTCTCAGAGGTTTTCAAAATTAGGTCATCTGGTTTGGCGTTCCTACACAAATAATAATTAAGGTAAAGTCTTGATATATACAACCCGTAAAAGATGATAATCAATGTATAATGTGCATCAGATGTCAAACACAGCAGTGAATGATTCTGTGTCCTGGCCTTCTCTGATGCATGTTTACAGGCAACAGTGTTTTACTAGACAGGGTCAGGTTGGTATTCCACTCAATGTTAAAACATTGCAGATCATTTATTTTTGCTGTAACATACATGTAGAGCAGTAGAGGCAAAGTTCATTTCATCTCCCTGTCAAGCAGGATATACTGGACTAAATTACCGCCTGACACATATGGATTTTTGGGGGCTGATGCTGATACAGATATTGAGGAGTAAAACAAATTCTGATGCTGATATATTGGCCAGTGAAAAGAATTTTGCAATGATTCCTATTGTTGCCATTAACAAACTTATGGTAAAGAAGGAGCTTGATATTTTACAGTGTAACTGTAAACTTTATTATAAATAAGCATAAATAAAAAACACAAATACAACTAAAAACATATAATTTAAGTTAAGAAAATAAATACATATCTTTTGTGTAAAATGTATATATGTATATATGATGTATCTTCACATCAGCAAACATAAATGCCCATACCAATTAGTTTGTTTGAAAGTACCAATTATTACTCATCAGGCTTTAGACATTATCCCTGCTGAGGATTTACAGAGACTCGAGGATAAATATTAAGTATCTGTGAAATCTATGATTTATTTTTATAAATAAGCAGAGCCTGCAGTAGGTTGTCTCAAAAACTCACATGTGATTTTATTATGACCTTTTCAAGAATGCAAAATAAATGAATAGCCCTAGGAAAACACCTACAAGTCAAAGTAAAGGAACATACATACATATATATACTGTATATATACCCATCTCACCTGATCCGTCAAGTCAGAAGAAGCAATGAAATTAGTATCTATATCCCGGCTCTGACTCTGTGACCCAATTAGGACGTTTGACATCATGTCGTTGGACTAACCAGCCACTGTTACTCATGTTCTGGCTAATTGTGTTCTTAATGGATTTTCTCCCCATAAGCCTGTAGTTTGAGCAAGTCAGTAAGTGAACCATCAAACAGCTGTTCTTGCCTCATATCCACTTCATCCAGCGACCACGTCCACCTCATTGCACATTTGTACGACTGCACCATCTTAAATGTAACTATGGCCTTTCTTTGTTCTGCAGCAGCCGTATGTGTCCCCCTCCAACCATCAGATGGCTCTTTCAAGCCCCAACAACAACCACAATGGCAGCAGCAACACCAACACCATCAGCAATGGCGGAGGCAGCGGCAGCAGCAGTGGCAGCATCGGAGGAGAGCAACTGAGCAAAACGAACCTGTACATCCGTGGCCTCCACCCGGGAACCACAGACCAGGATCTGGTCAAACTCTGTCAGCCGTAAGTCGACCAGAAACCTATTGCTTTAGCGTCTACTTAAGACACCCAATAAATCTCTATCCGGCTTCCCCTCTACGAACACGAAGCAGGTTAGAGGAGCAGAGTAGATTACGATAGAGCAGAGTGATGGGCGGATGGATAGATGGTTTGTCTAAAAGATTGAGTGGATTGCATTACTACATGGGCAAACACAGAAGATGGATGGCTTCCTCACACTGGAAATGCACATTCATTTCCAGCACACGTTAGCAGGTATTCCTGGAACAGGGAAGAGAGCCACATTTTTTTATCCAGCACCCATCATGTAGTGGCCTTATGGAAAAACCAACAATCATTTGGTCTGCAAACTAAGAGCTCTCAGTTTGGCACGGCTAAGCACAGACTTTCCAACAACCAGGTACAGAGTGTTTAGTCTGCTAATTCTCCCTGTGTGTCTGCTCTAGCTTAGTCTTTGACATTTAACCTACTCTACATGAATTACGGCTCATCTGCGCTTTATAAGTATTTATTTATAGTATTCTGCAGTGTGTTGCAACAGCGTGAGCGTGAGTCTTTGAGAAACTCTGTTGTGGGCAGCGTGTAGTCAGACATCAAACAGCGGCATCATCCAATCCATCTGATATGTTTGTTGCATCGTCGGTTTTGGGACTTCAAAACAAGTGGTGCTGAGATGAATGATCTCGACTTGCTTAATTGAAATCTGTAGCTCGTGATGAGAACCAGAAGAGGGAGAGAAAAGGAGGGAAAAAAGGGGGCTGGATAGATTGAATAAGGGAGAGAGAGAAGGAGAGGGAGGGAGGGAGAGGCCTGCTATTTTACAGCTGTCTGGAAGATATGGCCCACATGAGGCTGCCCAACCCAACAGGAAACGGCGAGCCCAGGGGAAAGGGAAAGGCAAACAAGGGCAATGGCATGGAGAGGGGGGGAGGGTGGATGGAGAGAATCAGAGGGGGGGAGGAGTGAATGGAGTTCAGGGTTTGTGTGTCAGGTGGTGTTTTCCGTGGGGGCAGTTCTCGTATTTCTGCTTTTACACAGCAGATAAAATCACTGCATGAAATTTGCACAATAAGGGACGACTTAATCCTCGGTTATATGAGACTGAGATGGGATGCTGTATCCGGTGATGGCTAATTAGGGAAATGCTCTAACATCAGGATGTAAAACAGGAAGACAACGCATGAGGGGGAATATATATACAGACTTTACTCAAGTTTGAGTAGTTCATGTACATGGAGGACTCCCCGAGCTCCCCTCCCCCACGTGGAGAGTTGGTAGCATGCACACTGCGAGATGGGAGCGAGGGATGAGAGGAGGGGATTGGGGGTTGGTTCTTCATCTCCAGCCCCTGCAGTTGCTCTGTGGGTAACTCGCTGCCGCGCCCCACTTCCTTTCTCTGGTGGTTGACCATGGACGGATGTCGGGCTGGTCCCTGTGTGCTGTGCTCTCTCACACATGGCTGAGTCTCTACAGCCCCTCTTTTCATTCTGCATCATAAGGTCCAAGACCTCTAAACACAAATGAGTATCTCAACTGTGTGAGCAGTGAAGAGCAGCAAGTAAATACTTGTGAGGTAGAGGGGAGTTCTTTGGAGACTTAACCCGAGCTGTGTGCCCACATTTATGATGTATGTGAATATATAGGAATACAATGTTGGCACATCCATCCAGTCCATGTGGCTGCAGCTTATGGTTTAGAATCAGAAATGAAACATGAAATAATAATGTTATATATGAGGTCAAATGCATAATACAAAAGATTTTCATGTTAACGCTGGATAGATTCAATTTGCAGAGAATTGGGTGAGGAAACGAACATGCCATATGACGGTGTCTGTATGTAAGTTAGCTCTCAGTCTGTTGGAACGACATACTCAAGTATAAGGAAGAAGAGATGGTTTTAGGATCAAACCAGTGGTCGCTTTTCTCTTTCTTGAAGCTGAATGGTTTTAATTCATGTAAAACACTGTGCATCAATACTTATATATCAATATAATGTTTATTTTTATACATACAACATGCAGTAGTCTGCTGTGGTAGTATCCAAATCAGTCATTTAGAATCATTTTCACAGGTGCCCATTTAAAGGTTTCTAATTTTATTTTGGGAGTCTACCAGAATAAGTTCACATAAATGCTGTAACATTTAAAATATGCATTATCTTGTCTCATACCGTACATTACTGTGATGCTTCTTTTAGAGCGTGTGTCGCAAATTACCCAGAGAGCTTCCTGATCAACTGTAAACACCATTGTAGCCTTGCTAATAATGACGTTGGTTCTGCCTTGTACCAAATTGAGCCAAACAAGCCAGTTGTTGAACACGTTGCAAGTTATTTGGTGACGTAAGCACTTTAAAGGGGACAAACAAAGTGTTTCAGGCTCTTCAGGAGCTGTGTTTTCTGTGGGAGGGATGGAATCCCTTTGTTGCGGACTTTGGCCTTTGTAACATATCCGACCTTCTACATGCTCAAAAACACTATTGACAGTCAGTATCGTGCGTACTGTACATTGACTGTGCATCATGTAAATAGTAGAGATTTACCAATTTCATTTTATTAAAAGGAAAGCGATCCTGAAGTTACAATTCAGAGTAATCCAACAGATGAACTGACATATGACTCATCATCACTTGAAAGTTATCCATACCCTGCACCATGAAAGCGACTCTAGCTCAGATGAAATGTGGCGCTGGTGCAGTGTCACTGGATGAAAAGCTGGATGCTTTATGAGGGGCACTAAGACCCAGTGGAGGGTTTAATGCTGCCTGGAGAGAAGCTGGTTAGCAGAACGAGAGTATGGCTGGGAGCCAGCGTTGGACAGGACAGCCAAGGAGAGGCATATCAGATTACACTGCATGCACATGCCGGGAGAGATGGGAACTGATAGACACTGCCTCACAGAAGCATTTGCCCACTATCCTGTGCATCTGCAGCATCCATGGCCGACCAGCTCTGAAGAAAAAACAGCATATTGGTAGTTCATTGTGAAGCAATCTGAAAGTACAGCAATACACATTTTATCATATTTTCACATCATGTTGGATTGAGGTATGATTCCCTGTGTGTCTCTGTGTGTAAACACGATAAAGAAATCCTATAGTTTTATCTAGCGTGCAGAAACCTACAGGACACCTCTTTCTTCATGTAATTTATGTCCCACCGCCCTCTCTGAAGATCTCCCTATGCACATCGTTCATTATCAGATGGTGGAGCCGTATCGAGTGTCACTGCACTGAATCTGTCAGGTGAATTGTAATTCAGTCATCATGGAGCACCCTCTCTTAGGGTGTGTTAAGTTTAGGGAGAAACCGCACTGCGTCAGCAATGTTGCAATGCTAATATTGAATGTAAACAGGTATTTATTTTCAGTACACAGTGCAAGGACGGTCTTTTGAGTGTAAACCTCACTGTTTTTCAGGTACGGGAAAATCGTATCCACCAAGGCCATCCTGGACAAGACCACCAACAAGTGCAAAGGTGAGGTGCAAACAACAGGTCGAAACAAAGTTTTGTGCAGAGGTTTAGAGAAAAGTACGTCAGCATGTGACATCATTTCAGAAGGAGCCTCACTGGAAAATATAAAGGTGTAGATCAGAAGCAGAGGTTGTGCAATCTTTGTGAAAACAACTGTTGAGTATCACATAACAAGTAATAGGGAGGACTGGATAAATAACATTTAAATAAATGCATTTGTATAGAGTGACACTCTGCTCTGCAAGGGCCCAACAGTCCCTTTATACAACCCCATTTTTTTTACATTTTTGTTAAACAATTGTCTATTTTTTGTTAATTTCTCAGGAAGTAATGTTTGAATCTTATGAAAAATGTATGAGTCAGACAAATTAACGGTGTTAAGATCTATGAGTTTGAACAGTTTGGTGCAGATCAAGTTAATAATCTGGATCTGTTGGAAGAAAGCCTCAGCGCTCTACTAAGTGACATTAAGTTCTGTTATGTCTTCAGTGTTTTGTTACTTGAGTCAATAAATCTGAGATGTGAAAAAATAAAATCCATAATTCATCATATTTCTATTTTTATTACCATAATTTTATTGTAACAACGATTGTGGCAGATTGTAAACAGGAAAAACTGAATTCACAATGGATGGAGATATACTTAGCATCCAATTATGTTTTGTATTGTTGGATCGTGCCTCCCTAGTTGATTGAAACGAGTGTCTTCAGTAGATGATTTATGTATCGACACCTTATCCTGTCAGTTGCTGATGTTTTCGCTGCATATCAACAACAGAGAGGTGGTACAACGGCACAAGCATAAGACAGTTTGTCATCTCTGCTTAAGTTTGTGTGAAATATTTCAGTTCTAAGGTCACGTTGCTAATTCGCCCTTCTCAGTAAAGTTTTGCTTTTGTAGCTCATATGTCTCGCTGTATGTCTCCGTCCCTGCAGGCTATGGATTTGTTGACTTTGACAATCCAGCTTCAGCTCAGAAGGCCGTGACTGCGCTGAAGGCCGGTGGAGTGCAGGCTCAGATGGCCAAGGTAAGAACCCTGCATGAGATGTCACGATTTGTCAGTGTTTATTTAAAAGTTAAATCTTCTGCAAATGGGAAAAAAAAATCACAAATATTTCGATGGTGATGGTTGAAGGATGAATTATTAATTATTTATTGGGCTGCGTGGTGCTGCGTTAAGCACTGTTGCCTCACAGCAACAAGGTTACAGGTTTGAATCCCATTTCAGCCGGGATCTTTCTGTGCGGAGTTTGCATGTTCTCCCCGTGTTTGTGTGGGTTTTCTCCAGGTGCTCTGGCTTCCTCCTACTGTCCAAAGATGTATTGAAATACATGCAGGTTAATTGTAAAATGACCATAGATATGCAGAGTGTACCTCGCCTCCTGCCCAACGTCAGCTGGGATTGGCTCCAGCCGCCCCGTGACCCTCAAAGAGATGAGCGGTGTGGATATCAGATGAATGGATCAGTGTCCTTGCAGCAGAAAGGTTGTTCCTAAGCAAAATTATTTTCAAGCCTTCTAGAGTGCGTCAGTGCAAGGGTGAGTCCTGGGCAGTGCACTGGATGCACATATGGGTGAGTGTTGACATCAGCAAGTTTAGGGATATGAATGCACCGTAGAATACTTTATATGTGTGTGCACAAACAAAAGGGCACGGATGCAGAGAGGTATATCGTGTGTACGTGCATGTGTGCCAGCGTGCTGTGCTTCTTAGTGATGACGGTGTTGGGGGAGCCGGTCCCAGGGCCTGGTCTCAGAGCTCCCTGCACAAAGGACCTATCTGTTCTCCCTGGTGGCATCTGACTCAGTGTCTGAGCAGCTCCCCAGTCAGCAGGGCCTTGTGCCCAGCCACCCGCCCTGTCAACACACACACAACACGCACACACCACACAGGCACACGCACACACTTCAACAGCCTTGCCTGAACCAGATTATGACACACTCAAAGGCAAGCACGCGCACATGCCCGCCACCGACACCCTGGGAAAGCTGATCTGTCGCTAAGCTGGATCACTGACATTCATATGGGTTCTTGCTCACAAAATAACTTGATTTCACTCACCCCTTCACTCCTGGTTTACAGCCAGGCTTACACTTGTGTCAGATTTCTCTGTGACTCACTCTGACTCATTCGTGGTCGAAATCCACAGCGGATCTCCTCGGCTCACTCTCATTGGTTCCATCTCCTCCGCTGTTAGCTCGGGCTCGTTGTGAGGGAGGAAGAGGAGGAGGAGAGGGGGATGAAGGAGGAATCACCTTCACCACAGGTCGCAAAGATTACACATGCATTATTTATAGAGTGGAAATTAATTCATGCTGCATTTACAGGTTTTTAATCACATCTGTACTCGGTTTAATGAATATGCATAATGGTTAGAGGGGGATACAGACTGGTTATCTTATAAGATACTGTTGTTCAAATTAAATTTGTTTGAGCAGGAGGCAAAGAAAGGAGGGAAAAAGCCTACAACCTAGCTCAAAAGTGTAAAATGAAATGTCGAGAGATTCTTATTTCAAATTCAGATTTGGGAAAGCTGCATAATTTGTGTGATATATGCAAGATGACAGAGCCGGCCCCTGTGTCTGCATTCAAGGTCAGGATTGCCACGTGAATATAACTGCTTGAGTGCAAGCGACACATTATTATACTACGACCTGGGAAAGGGGAAGATAATGTTTGCCTTGTGGGGAGATGATAGCACAATGCTTTAGATGTTCTTCTCAGATTATTTCAAAAGGTCTTCCTACAAAATGTCTCAGCTGCGATTTCTCCACCGATCGAGCGCACGCAATCACCTTAGATCATCCGTGAACGGGGAGCCATTTGAAATGTAATTATGCTTTGATATTGCATTACCTGGATCCTGCACTTTCATCCTCTGAAGAGGCTAGTTGCTCACAATTGCCCTGTCCTCTACCATTTCGGTAATAGTATATGAGTGATAGAGAAAAAGTGAGGAGTATGATGAAAGAAAAAGAGCTGGATGAATAAAAGTAGAAAGGAACGGAGAGAGAGAGGCTCAGCTTAGGTCCTGCCAGATCTCCACCATCTCTGAATAATCCTTAGATCTCAACAATGCTGCTCACGTTCTCCTCAAAACCTCAAAACCTCTATCCCTTGTCTCAACTGTTCCTTTAACTGTCTGCCATCCTTCTAAATATCAGACAGCTCACACTTCCTCTTAAAAGGTTATATATACATATCCTCATACTATTATCACGATACAGTCTGGATTCTGTCACTAAAGGAAATGAAGTGCTCTCACTCGTCACCTCCATTAATGTTTTCACTTCCCTTTGTTTGTTTTTTCAGGGGGTGGATCCAGGAAGTTTTATCACTTACTTTAACATCACATTTTTGACCTTTTCACTGATTTTCCAGAGGATATTTCATGAATCTTGATGAAAAAACTTATCTGGCATATTTAGAGAACTGATTTTTAATTGTGTTTGCCATTTGGTGCAGCTTGGTTGGATTTAAGGGGACTACAGGGCCTAGTTCTTACAGTAAATCCTTCTTTTTCTTTCTGTGTATTCAGCAACAGGAGCAGGACCCCACCAACCTGTACATCTCCAACCTGCCTCTGTCCATGGACGAGCAGGAGCTGGAGAACATGCTGAAGCCCTTCAGCCAGGCAATTTCCACGCGCATCCTCCGTGACGCCAACGGGACCAGCCGAGGAGTGGGCTTCGCCAGGTACAAACTCTGGGTGTTTGGTCATGTGTGTTAGGACCGTGGGTGTGAGTTGATCAGTGAGGTGTAGCCTAATGTGCTTCGAATAAAATACCCAGTTACACATATAAATGAGTGTAGTCAGTACACAAGCTGAAGATCAACTTACAGTTTTGTCAAGGATTAATGATGGTGAGTGAGCCTCCTGGTGGCCAATATTGGTAGAACAGCTCCAATTGGAAATAAGATAAGATAAAACTTTAATTATCACACACTGGAAAAAATACAGAATATCTGCATGATATACACACTTCACCACAGAAAATTATTGTTTGTATAGAAAAAAACTATTTCAGTAAATTGCGGTAGTACAGGATGAATGAAAAGGTGATATTGAGATAATAAAAAATATTAACACCTGCTGAAGAGATTGTTTTTAATAGACACTCATAAGCATAACCTTTCCTTGTAGGATGGAGTCAACAGAGAAATGTGAGGCCATCATTCAACATTTCAATGGAAAATACATCAAGACTCCACCTGGAGTCCCAGGTGAGCTTTGTTGTTTGGATACAAATTACTAGTCCCAAAGAGTTTTACCTCACGCATGAAACTGAATATTGTCTTTCATCTGACATGATAAGCTCTTATTTTGAAAATCCCCGCTCCAGTGCCGTCAGAACCCTTGCTGTGCAAATTTGCTGACGGAGGTCAGAAGAAGCGTCAGAGTCAAGGGAAATATCTGCAGAACGGCCGGCTCTGGACGAGAGATGGGGAGACTGTGAGTTTATGACTTTTCTTAATCGTCTGAGATTTGGTAGTCGTACATCGATACATCGACCGGCCTCTTAATGACACGCTTCCACTTTTCCTTCAGGGAGGAATGACCCTTACCTATGACCCCACCACCGCCTTACAGAACGGGTCAGTACCTCTGCTGTGATGAATCCCTCGTGTGTGAGTGGGATCATGTTGTGGTTTTTCATGACTTTGTGTCTCTTCTGCAGGTTCTACTCCTCTCCGTACAGCATCGCCCCCAACCGGATGATCGGACCAACTTCCCTCTCCCCATACATGCATTCACCCGTGTCCACCTACCAGGTACTGGAGGGTTATTTAGTCTTTCAAACCTGGGGTGTTAGTTAAGACATTAAGGTGTGACCGACAATCCCAGGCCTGCTGTTATATACCAATAAATGCAATCATTAAATTCCAAAACATGCTTCATACGTAAAATACCTGAATTTGTCAGCTTGTCTTCTATCTATGGATTAGAAATATCTGTCTGTATGTGGCTCGTATATCTCGTGAACCGTTCATCTTATCGCCGTCAAACATGGCCTGTTTATTTTTAATGTCCCTATGAAATGCAGAAAAGAATTTGGTGCGATTTGGACACATGGTACGTTCAATAGGAATACAATTTGAATAATCAGGCGACCAGTGCTCTGCAGTTCGTGGTTTTGCGTATGAGTCGAGCCTCACTGAACTTTGAATATTCAGGTGAACAGATTGTGCTGCAGCGGTGGTGCAGCTTCAGGGTTCTGTGGACTGCAGCAGGTCTTTACTTTCCGCGGCTCAATTACTGCAGGTCACTCTTACAGTTTCAGAAAGCTGCAACCAGCATCACCACAGGCCCATTCCTAACAGGCAGGTTTCGAACAGGCACCGCACTAGTTTTCTAAATTGATAGAACCCACTCATAGAATGTAATTTCATCCTTTATGATACGTCTTTCTTGTTCCTGCAGGTACACAACCCGTCCTGGATACACCACCAGTCCTACATCATGCCGCCCACAGTGAGTATTCAGAAGCTGTTTGTTTTCCTTCCTGTGTTTGTTGCAGCTGAAATCTTTTAATATTCTGCTGCGTTCACACACTTCGTCTAACACCACCCTGTGTGTGTGTGTGTGTGTGTCCACAGGGAACCGTCCTGACTCCAGGGATGGACCACACCATGTCCATCCAGCCCACCTCGATGATGGGGCCCCTGACACAGCAGCTCAGCCACCTCTCCATGGGCAGCAGTGGCACAGTGAGTAGAGAGTTAGAGTTAAGCATTGAGCTGTCATCAGTATTTAACTGCTAAAGCTGCATGAGGCAACTTGAAACATTGGTGATTAAAGTGCGTCCTGAATTTTGGTCAGTGTGACAGTTTAATTCACTGATGTAGCTGCTGCGTCCAGTGAACTCATTATTTCCACTTCCCTGCAGTATATGCCTGCAAACACATCTATGCAGGGGACCTACATCCCCCAGTACACCCAAGTGCCTGCCACCAACATCTCAGTTGAGGTAACCACCTCTTTTTATCTCGTTTTCTCACTAGAACAGCAACATGTTATGTGAAACAGTCACTTATGGATTTGATCTTTGCCGCCTCCCTCTCAGGAAAGTGCCGTCCAACAACCTGTTGCCATAGAGACACCCACGGAACACACAACCTACTCCTACCAGCATAACAAGTGAAGAGGTGGCAGAGGTGAGCTCTGATCCTGTTCTGTGCTTCTGTACATCTTAATCTTTAGTTTTCTCCTGCTATGATGTGAGTGCTCAAGGACGCTGCTCTTGTGTCAGATCTTCCTCTGGAGCCGGAGCGACTCTCAAAAGGGCCCAAGTGCTGAAACCTGGCACAGTGACTCTGCATGAAAGGCACCAGACGCTCGGGGGGAATATGGACTGTTACAGAGACAGGACAAAAAAAAACCAAGACATTTTCTACAAACTCATATTTTAAAACAAACTCTTTTACTCCAAACAAGCAAGGCTGGAGGATGGTGGGCGAGATGAGACGGAGGAACAGAAGAGGGAGCGTCTATTTTGATAACAGTCAAGGAAAAAACCAACAGACACATTGAATAGGTTTTAAAAAGGTTTGAGCATCATTCTCATGCTTTTCTAAAACTACAGTGAAACCAGGAAAAGAACATTTCAACACCATTTTTTATTTTATTATCATGTTTTGTTGACCTTTTTTTAAAATGTGCTGATTTTACGTCTCTTTTGTTTTGTGTCTGATACTTTCAGGCTTTCAAACCTGCCTTTTTGTACATAATTGTTTGATTTGTTGTGTTTCTAGCTTCACGTGTCCTGGTTTGATTGATTGGTGCAAATATCTGAAAACAGACAGCAAAAAGCTGAGGAATCATATTTCAGTCGGATATGGTGCTGACTTGGATTAAGCTTCTCTTCAAGTGGCAGCAAATTTTTGTTTCATGTTTTTTTCTTTCTGAGTGGTTTTACTTCTTTTTGGCACTTGACTCTCAAATAATTTAAAGTTCCAACAATCTCGACAAAGCTTCAGACAATCAAGACAAAGACAAGAACATTTAGAGATGACGCTCACTGTTGATGGATTTCACAGAGCAGTCTTCTTTGTAAAAGAGCTAAATAAATATAAATCATTCCAGAGATAATCAAAAAAAGAAATTTAAAAAAGGTCTAACTGTTTTCACGTTTGAGCTCCTCCACTCGATTCAATCCAAAGTTGTTTAACTGAGATCACATCTCACTCAGAGCTGTCTGTAAATAAGAGATTTAAATTTATGGAGGCTTTCTTTTGATTTTCGTTCCTCTGTGTAGTATAACGCTTCAGTTAATGACAATAATTTACCAAATTGAACAAAGCAATGTGTTTTCTCTTTTATAAAAGGGAACGCTTGAATCTCCACCAAACCCCAAACAGGGTTTTCTGAAACAAGTAGATAGATGTTGTTTGAGTTTGAGCTTGTTATTGCACAGACGTGGGAATGGACAAGTTCCGAAAACACTAAACAGGTGGATTGTTATGAACAGTCGGGCTGCTGTCAGTAGAAAAATAGTGGCCATTGCCGTGTTTTTGCATCTGCTTCTACTTTTTTGTTTTCACCCTCATGTCCATTTCTTATTTAAACGTTTTCTTAAGTTTTGTTTTTAAATACTTTTAAGATTTTTCAAAGAAGCTTTGATTTTATTTTTGATAGTGTGCTGTGTGCTTCAAATAGAGAGAAATGGTTTGTGGCTTGTTTGTATGTTTGCTCACTTCTCTCATTTTGGTTTCAGTGTTGATGTGAAAGAGGCTTTAATTTTAGGTTTTTTTGTGGGGGGACATTTCAGTTGTGTGTCATAGATGTTGGCGCTTTATGAAAACGACTCCTCTCGATGGTTGAGTTATATTATGTGCTATAGGTTCAGATGCATTGTTACAGAGTTTTGCCCCGAGCCGTTGGGGAAACGACAGATAAAGAAATATATGCTCAAAAAAAGAAAAACCTTGACTTACCTCATCCTGCCAGAGTGATGTACAGTAGATTCAGTTTGTGTGCAAGGGTCACAGGCAATAAACAACTACAGCAGGTGTCATGGCTGTTCACAGCTGGTACTGTGTCCACATCCTTTAGCTCTTCCGTCAAACGTCCGGAATAAAGCACGCCCAAGGTCTGACGATCTATGCAATTAATTTATTATCCTTATAAATGCAATACTACAGATATCACACTAAGGATCACCTCATTATAATACTTCATTCTGGCTTACATTATACATACTCTAATTTTCTCACTGAGACATTAATCTTTGGTTCATTCATTGTTAGTAAGATGCTGCATTAAAAGGGAACTGCTTCATACCAAAATGAGGTGAATACGAGATGTAGGAATAATACAAAAAAAGAAAACCATTGGCCCGTTAGATGTAATTAACCATTTCATCCAATAACAATTTGTTTTTTGTTATGTGAAATTTTCATTTCTCTGAGCGATTGAAACGGTTTATTTCCAAGAGAAAATTTAACTTCACAGAAATGCCTTAGATTTCACTGGAAGGGATCGTGAAGTGCGACTCACATTTGACGGGCTTTACCTCGGTAATTTGTCAGGGTTTTTTTCCTCATGCACTGCTGTTAAAAAGACTTTTGTTAAAACAGAACTACTCTGAACACAGATCTATGAAGCAAAGAGATATTTACGACTTTCTTTATTCTGTCACTTTGTCATTCCTTCATTGTTCATCCAAAGCATAGAAGAATAAATTGAGTGGTGGTGTACCGAGTCTAACTATTGCTGCTATGTGTTTAGAAAACTTTTAGCTGAAGGTCATTCAATATGTCAAGTCACACATGGGACCAGTTTGTAACTCATGTTCAGCGACGTCCATGCATCCAGATTTCTGTGCGTCAACCTCAGTAGATATCTGTGCCACGACACAGGTTTTGTCTCCTCCACAGATAGGAAACCCTACAGCTATTAAAACATTTAACTTGGTTTGATTTTCAACTTGTCTCCTTTTTCTTTTTATAAATAAAACTTTTTCACTGTGGTTTGTGTTTTTATTTTTATTATACAAGGGACCACTAGGCACTTGATATAATATAAGAGATTATAAACTTCAAATAAGCAAAGACATGTTTATCAAATGTGGCAGTTTTTATATCAAAACCAACTCATTTTGAGGTAATACACAAAGAACAGTCACAAAACATGAGAATTTAATTCTAAAACAGACTGGGATCTAGATAAAAATAGATAGGAAACAGGTTTATAAAAAAAAGTATATTACACTGTTCAAGGGTCGTATATGATTTAAGTATGTACAAAGTTCAAAATATACTGAATATGCCCAAAATTTGCTGTTAAACTTAACTACATAAAATAGACTTTGAACCTTAATTTACAATCTTGTATCAAGACTAATGAATAAGAAGGAAAGCAAATCCTGTTTGCCCTGCTGCTGTAATGTGCAATAAGACTATTATGTTGAACATGGCAAAGTAAGTCAATATTCTGTTTTCATTTTGAATCATACTCTGAGGCAACATCCCATTTGAAAACCTTTGTGCATTTTAATCAAACTAATGAAGAGAACCCTTTTTTGGGGGAGTAATGTTCGTATTGCAGAGAAAAACAAAGCAGAACTCATTTCCACATACAAAGAGGTTAGATGCCATCAAACTTCAGTTTTGTGGGCATTTATATCATCGTGGTAAAGTAAATTTATATTTGCTCATTTCAAGAGTATCAAACACTGACAGCAAAATGTAGCATTACTGTCGTAAAAACAAATCTGTCCACGTATGACATGTAAACTTTGTGTGTCAGCATCAAACTGAACATTGCAGCTCAGAGTATGGAGTCACTCAATACAAGTGTGGGTTTAAAAAAACGATTCTGGCTGGGTAATATAAAACACGCAGTGCTTCAGCTGCTATACTGATGCTCCATGAGTGCACCATAATACAAATAAACTGGAAAATAAGACTGGGAGGCAGTGCTTGGCTGCTTCAGCAATATCCCGTCAGCAGCTGAGGGCTTTATTGGCCTTAGAGGATGGAGAGTGGCAGAGCTGGTTTTCCTGATCCGATGATGAGCTGGTGTGCAAGTCTTTCCCAGGACAACACGACTGTAACTCAGCTCATGCACCCTGAGCGGATGATACAAGGTTCCCAATCCTGACATCACAACAGCTTGTGGTTCACAATCTCCCAAACCATCCTTCTTCTAAAGTAGGGCATGTGTTTCTGTGAATGAGAAGAGAGGTGGTGTGAGCCGAGGTCAGGATGCACTCCTGATGACTTCACAAGATAAATCTGTGTTGCTGCTGTTTGTGATTACCTGTGTGAATGTGATTGGCTTGTCTTTGGTAATGTAATCTGCATATTTGCACGTGAACATTCCACAGTCGCTACCGTTCATCTGCTGAGGGATTTCCTGAAAGAAGAAGAAATAAAGATGTTAAACATTTAAACCCTTTACTAAACCACAGTTCAATATTTAAATTAACCTTCTGTGACAGCACTTGACCAACACAGACGATGAATTTAATACTTTATCTTTTTAAAAACAAAATTCCAGTGTCATGAAACAGTTTGCTCTTGACAAACAGCAGCATTGACAGATTTTGTGAAACACACATCAGAGTTTCTGAAGTTTTCAACAAGTTCAATTTAAGCCTTTTTAGACGACCTATGTCATGTGTGACAGATATTAAGGAATATCGAGGAATATCCCGGAATTACTCTTATTTAAGTTTGCAATATGTTAAAATATTTTTTAGACTTCTTAGGCCTAACATTTTGATTATTAAGACCCCACAGAAACAGAATATAACTTTTAAGTCTGTCCTTGCTCAAATGAGATGTCTCACTTTTCTTGTGTGATAGTGAAATAAAGATAAATATTACATAATGAAACATTAAAAACAATAGTTCACATAATAAGAAACAAACTAGAACAAGATTTTTAGTTGTACCTGTAGGTCTGGACGGCAGGCTGCTTTAAATAAAACCAGCCCAGGAAGAACTGACTGACACATTTAATGGTACGTTTCCACAGACGCAGTGTTTGATGCTGGGATATACGTTCTTTTCTATAGTGGACTCTTGATGGATGTGCCAATGAAACAAAGTGGGCTGTATGTCAACAGATGACAGATAGGCTTTTCCTTCATATGTAGGGCTGGAGGGAGGCCTCCCACCCCCCACACAAGGCCCATTATTTCTCCCAGAGACATGTTCTTCTTCTGAATTTACTCATTCAAATATGTACAAAGTTGCTTAACAGACTGTTCAGCAACTTGAGGCTGATTTGTGATATTGGACTATATGAAATTCTGTATGTGTTTGACTTACGTTGGGCTTTTTGCTGTGTAGAGTCCAGCCTGAGGTATCCAGCTCTTTGCCCTTTTTGTCCTTACTTTCCTGCAGCAGATAGTCGCTGCAGAAACAAAAAAGAAATTTCAATGCTGAAACTCAATGGCACATAAATAATATATTTTTGCAGATGTTTCAATTAACTCTCCTCATATAGCTCCTTGAAAAAACAATCTGATGCAGACACTTACAACAATATCCTGCATGCTTTATCATTGTTCCTTCCCATTGAATCAAAGTACATGATGGCCTTTTTCCTGAAATCCACCACCTGAGAGAAAAAGATGAAGAAACAATTAACAAAAGAGAAATAAAATTAAAACTTTCTTCCGCATTCATAATTATGGTCATTAAGACTTACAGAGAGGCACCAGTGCACCCCCAAGTGGACAGGAACCAACAGGATGTCTTTAGAAAAGATGTCTGTCTTTTTTGTCCACCGACGGACAGCAGAGTAGCCACTCCTGCACAGCTTTGGATAGAAAAAGGTGTTGAACGTATTCACTGACGGGAGTTTTGGGTTCTTGCTGCGCTCGACCAGCAGGTTCATGTAAAAGTTGATCACCTGAGAGATTAAAGGAGAGTTTCAATGAGCTGGACGAGCATGACACAATTAATCAACAAATATTACATGCACCAAAAAAACATAGCCAAGCTGTTTTATTAGGGCTGCAAGATATTAGGAAAACATGCGATAGCGGTGTTTAATATCGTGATGACGGTTTGACCTGCGATAAATAAATCATCTCGGGCAGCAGTGCTCCATCTGAGTGGCCAAATGTATTTACATGCAGAGCTTGAGCTAGATTTCCGATACATCTTGCAGCCCTATTTTGTAATACCATAATGTATGCATAACAAACAAGGTATCCGTCTGTCCATCTTGATTATTATTTGTTGAGTATAATGTGTACTCACTTCATCGTTTAGCCAGTTGAGGTGGCTTAGGGTGTGCAGATCTTTGCGTGTCAGCTTCAGACCAAAACCTTCACTAAGGACTTCTTGAAGGCTACTTGCTCTTAGCACTCTGTTCACCTCAGCCTCCATTTCCTTAACATAAACACACAACACATGTAAGAAATCACAGGAAATAATTACTTAAAAGTTTTAAACTTTCATTTTATTGTTTTATACTTTTTAAAAGCAGAAAAAACATTCAAAAACACTCATCTTCTAAGTGAGAGCAAGTCTATTTGGGTGAAGCATCGGAATAAAGTCAAATACATAAAAGATACAATATTTATACCTCTGTAAGTTCAGGGAATTCTGGTTCCTCTTTCAAGGGCTTTGGCTGTTCTATCACAGCAGTCAAAGGAACCTCCTTTTCCAAAGGAACTCGAATATGAACCTCCACATCGGGGCTGCGTTGCCCCTCCTCCATCAAGCGCTGGGAACCAGTAACAACATGACACAGCTTAATGGGGGTAACAGGTGGTCAAAAAACAATGTTATGATGCAGGTGAACCTGAAAGAGAGCTTCAGTGATGAAGAGTCACCTGTCGCAGCAGCTGAGCAGCCAGGGCCTCCTGCTCTTCTATCTGTCTCCGCCTTTCTCTCGCCCGAGAGTCGTACATACTAGTTCTACAGAGACAAAAAAAAGGTGTTCAACTTGTGGTTCTTTTCACTACAAGATCAGTAAACGATGAATCAATGACTTAATCAATGATTAAATGCATTTTTTGTGGACTTACAATTCTTTGATCCATAACTCAGCTTGGAAACATGGCACACTGTAAAGACAGATCAATATGTTATGAGTAAAAACACATTGAGTTAACTGCACCCCACCTACAAGCTGTTTTCATATAAATCATTCCACATTATTAATTCAGATGTATATGTCTTTGACCAAGCTTACATTACATTTATTACACATTACATTATTATTAACCACAGTAAATTAAAGTAAAAGTAAATTACCAATACTAACCTTGAGCTGTTTTGCATTTTACCCTTTTGCTCATTGATAATAATTACAGAGTCGCCATCCTGAGCTACAAGAGAAGACGAGGATGTTACAACTCAAACAAACACAAAAACAAGCAAACGTTCAATTCACTTATGCTTCGTTTTTCCTGGCTGAAAATTAGGCGAGGTGGTACTGAGAGAGAGAGAAGTGAGCAGCCTGTGGGACTATCAAACAGCCAGCTCTGCTTAAAGTGATGAATTTGGCCGTGGACAATTATGATCATTACAAGTAGTTTCCACTGTACTAGAATTTTATCGGGAGGCGGAATGAATGACGGACGTGATTCTCTATGCGGGAAAAACTCTGTTATGATGTTCCCTTTTCATAAACTCTATATGAGGTTTAAACTCAATTATCTTACCTGATGACTGTGTGTCCTGAGAGGAGTTATCCTGCAGAGCAGATGGGGAGGAAGCTGACGTGAGTGTAGCTGCTCGGCTGGAGCTGATGTCAGTGTCCAGTGACCACATCTGGATCCCTGCTCTGCTCGAGGTCCCCACTGGGCTGGGGAGGTTGCTTGAGCTCTGGCTTGACATCCTTCTTGGGCTGGGTGGGCTGCTGGTTCCCTCTGAAGTTTCTCCCGCTGCTGATCCAATAGGGGAGGAGAGCTGTAACAGTCTGCGGCTGGTGGTCAGGAAGCTGGTGCTGATGAGAGGAAGACAGGGGTAAGCAGATGAGAGAGCAGACACCATGTGGATACAGTACTGACAATCATTTTGTTCAAGGGTAGGAACTTTGATTGTTGCTATGCAACACTTTCTGATGCAAAGCTATGCAAGTAAAAACATGTTTTATCTGACCAGGGTAGACCCTAAATGAGCAACTACCACAAAGGGTAAATTTTTGCAGTTTTAGTTATTTGCATGCTGTATTTATACAGTTTGAATCTGGCAATGTTATTGTATCCTGTATTTGTTTGGGTACGTACAAATCTCTGTGTGACCTCATAATGGCATGTGAGCTGCCATTTTGAAGAAAAGATGACTGACCACCGGACACCATAGTCAGAAGCTGCCTGTAGACCTCCTTCTCCTCTTCATGCACAGACTGGACAAACACAGAGGAGAACCATGAAATCTACAAAGAAACACAACCGCTGAATGAGAAGAAATCACATGTTGCCTCATTGACTTGATGCCTGACCTCCTGTGCCGTGCAGCGGGGCTTGGCTCTGTCTATGCGGCCAGATGAGGTGCTGTGGGTTGGACTCTGCATCACTTTGATGGGAAAAGTCTTCTCATACATGCTGCTGCAGGAGCTGCTTGCAGTGCCCATTCCCGTACAGAGACTGCAGACACAAAATGAGAGTTTGCCAATCAACTGACAAGTTTTCTGATAAATCGTACAGTAAAAGACAGCTTGTCAAACAGGAAAGTAGCAGCAAAAACAAAAATGTAAGAAATACCTTGGTGTTCCAAACGGTCGGAGGTTTAGGGGTCTGCCTAATCGTGGAGACGGTTGT